AATAAATAATATAATGGTAAATAACCTTTTTTGAGTGTGTCTTCTAAACTGCATGAGTTTTTTTTTTTTTACTTTCGACTAATACTGCTTGATTGTCAGCATGCAATGTGTTTAATCATGTCATGTTAGCGAGTCTATATATTATCCCCTTTTACAAAAAAAGGAATATTTGTCTCTGTTTTCTAGCCATAACACGATAAAATGGCTGGAAGACCATTACAATCCAATCACACCTAACAAATATAAGACCGAGATCTTTCTTTTTCACTTATGATTTGCACTTTCTAAAGAGGGTGTACGAAGACATAGATACAAAAAAAAAAGAAAACAAATGAAGATACGATCTCTGAAAAGAAGAGTCAAGAATAGGTGTGAAAGAACAATGAATAAGCAGCAAAAATTCAAATTTCGTTCATGAGTGCTCTACCTTGGGCACACAGAAAGAGAAAAGAATTTTTGTGTGAACTATATAAAGATGATAGGGCGAAGATTAATAGATTTCTTAAAGAGAAAGAAATTTGCTCAGAAGATTTGAAAAATCCAGAACCGAAAGCATTTAAAATAGAAAAGTGCTACTGAAGAAAGTAAGACGAACCTTTACATCGACAAAATCGTTCAGTTCATCCTCGTTTCTCTCTGAATGAGCGTTTTGCTCCTCGCTTTTGGAAGGTTTTGGAGGGTCACCTAACGTCTCCGATCGCATTCCAATCACGTGCTTCAATGTTCAGAACCACATAGAAACAGAAAATAGGACAGAAAGCAAGGTAAAACAAACCTGACAAATCTGTGCGGCTAATCTATCAGTGGGAAAGAGTCCTGGTGCGTCAGCTCTTCGGAGGGCGATTACAGAAACAAACTTCCCCATGCTAACAGATGGCAGTCCATCTAAACATTAAATCTATGGCACATTGACATGATCAAGAGCAAGGCAAAGATCCTCTGCAAATGCAAAAAAAAAACCTCGTGGGTGTGCAGCTGAAAACAATGAGGCACCCGTGGGAGCGAATAGTGCCATGATTGATCGTATAGTGATATTTTCACCAAGTTTTCCAACGGTCATAGCGATAACCTCGCTAAGAGGTTTTCCATCGGAATCAGAAAGAGAGTTGACATCTAAAAAAAGCAGAAAATACAAGAACACGTTAGCATTTAGAAGATTTTCAAGAAAGAATAATTTGTGAGCTTTGCATTTGTGATAATTTCTACTCTTTCATCTCCCCTCCAAGCTTAACTCATAAACAATTGCACTTTCGAAGGCATAGAGGATCCATATTTCAGGAGTTATGAGAGATGACAGTGCCACCACGCCAAAACTAATCAACTTGTTCTCAATGTGCTAGGAGCGAGTCGTAAGTTCACTTAGACAATAGGAGCCAGCGTAAGTTCACTTGGACAATAGGAGCGAGGCGCATACACTTGAACAATAAGCAAAGGGAGCATTAGCGCTTTACACAAAAGAAGTAAAAGAAATATTCACTAAAAGCATTCGAAGTTGAATTTACGAAAAAATTACTATGAAAATAAAAGAAAATATTAACAGTTGTCCTCACCAAAACTTAGTGATACTATCTTCTTTGGTGAACCTTGTGGGG